CTTATCTGTACTCAATATGGAGCCCCCTGTGCCATAAACCGCATATGACTATAAAAGCACAAAATCTGTATATGTGAGGGTGAAGTTTTGTAGCCTTACGTAAGCCTCCCGACGTTGCATAAGAATAAAAAGAAAAGCCATTGGGGAAAAACCTCGGAGAGAGATACTCTGCAGTAGCTATTATGGGTTTTTGAAAAACGGCCCATATAGCAATATTAGATTCTGAGCGGAGCAAGGAAGCTAGTGGTTTTACAATGGTGTTTATTTTTATTTTTTTTTTATTTTTTTTATATCCTGTATACAAAATTTCTACCAGAAGGAGTGCTTTGATTTCAACATATAGTACCTTATCTTTTATCAAATTGGTACTAAAATTGGTACCAAGATGGTACTTTAGAGAGGTCATTTTTCGATTTTCTCAATAGTTATTTAATGCCACGGGAAAAAGTACTGAAAAATTACGAAAAACCGCTTAAAATGGGATTTTAATTTCTAACAATTTGTTTATCACCGTAGCAACGAATAAAAAAAATAATAATAAAATAAATAAAATAATTAATGACAATATAAAATATACAGACTGACAAACCGTCTCCGTTCAGAATCGTTTTTTTTATACAATGATATTAATATATTATATCATTGAATTCAAGTTTAATACAATCCATTAAACAATGACCAACTTGTAACCTACTGTACAGCTGAGCGACATCCACTTACCTGCCTTTTTTATAGATATTAACTTAATAAACAACTAGTTATTTTCATTCAAATCTAAATTACTTGTATTTATAAATAATAAAATAATAATATGATAATACATAAACAATAAACTTAATAGGAAATAAAAATGTAATTCTTAAATTTACTTCTTGTTGTTTCCATTAGCCGGAATTGTAGTTCAATAAAAATAACTTATTATTGGTACCAATCGGGCATTGAGTGATAATAATTTTATCAGGGACTGGAACCTTACCGAAAAGAACCGGTTTTGGAACTGGACCCCTTTGAATATTCTTAACCAAAACCTCACCGAAACCCTTATTTAAATTAATATTAATTTAGGAACCTCACAAGAACCCTTATTTAAATTAATTTAAAAACCGGAACCGATACTTTGACTTGACAAATTTTTGGCTATAGGTAAAAAACCAGACAGGTAACAATTTTTTTATATTTTAAGAACCTATAAGAAATTGAAACCTAAATGTTAGTTTTTCTGGGAACCGACCCGGAACCGAAATTTTAGTTTTACTGGCCACCGAATAGGAACCAGAACCGTAAAAATCATCAAGGATCTAGTCCCTGGTACAGCAGAGACACCCACTTGCCCACCTTCGGATGGACGAAAATTAAGAGCTTCACTTTGATACATAGTTATAATTCATAAGATTTTGTATTCATAAATATATTTATAATTTAAAGAATTCACCAAAGACGGTCAAGTTAATGAAAACATTAAGTTAGCTAAGTCAAATAACGTTAAATTCAAGGCTGGGCAGGTTATAATGTCACCAATAACAAAAAGTTAAAAGTTAATAGTTAATTTAATTATAGGTTAACTTAGCTAAGTTAAAAGTTAATGCACACTTCTTGTTAACTTTTTATTAAGTTAATTTTGATATACAACGCTTAATAACTTAATTTTTTACCAACCCAAAACAAAATTATTGACTAAAGTGTTTACTGTTTATGTTACAGTAATGCCATTTAATAATTACAATCTAATGATATAAATGTTTAACTTTAAACAATTCACGATAAATATTTTTTAATAGATTCATAACATCCACTTTCCCACTTTTTATAAACACATAGGTATATGATATATTTATATAATTTTTATTTTTACGACTTGATGTTTTTATTTATACATATATTTTACTAAGCAAAACCTGTTTATTAATATATCCTTGTCTGGATTAGGATTTAGGAATTGATCAAGACTTTCAAGAGCTGAGGTTTACTAGGGAGTTGCATAGTCATCGTAACTGAAGTACTTATTCAATAATGATGAGTACTTAATATTTAAAAATCAAAAAAACTATACGTCAATAATTTTGTAGACTACCAAAATATTATTTTATTGATCAACGAAGATATATTATCATAATATTATCATCGATAAAAAGAAAACGTATGCATACTGAATTGCTGAACTGCTGGATTATTATATTGTAGAGTCTATATGTTTAGCACTGTCGCACTGACGACTGACGAGTGACGATGACAAATTTATTGACGATATACATACTTTCTGAACAAAGTAGCTATCATATTATATTTTTGATTTTTATTTAATTATTTTGCAATATTCTGATAAATTTGTCTAAGATAAATGGACGAACCCGACTGGACGTGGCCATTTGTACCTTGTAATAATTGGTGGGACGTCAAAAAATAAAATCTATCATTAAAATTATAAGTAGGAAAAATTGAAAAATTAAAATATAATATAAAAAAATAGTTATTTATATATAACTGTTTTTAATATTGTATTTTTAATTTTTAATTTTTCTCTCTAATATTTTTATTGATTTTTTTTTACGTCCAATTGTCCCAACGTCCAAACGGCTAATTTTATTTGTCACTATTCACTTATAAATACTTGATGTATAATAAATTAACCGAATAACTGCACACCGTCGTTGTTTCTGCCAAATAAAATAAAAATTAAAGAACATGCGCAGCAGAAAAATGCTACGAAATCAGACCACACTTAACCGTCTCGTTGATATACACAAATACACAATAATCAACTTAAAAAAAACGGTTTCTACTGGTTAGACAGGATATTATATAATATATTTTTCACCTTAAGCACGATAAATTCCACCCGGGCTAACTCAACAATAATTTTAACACACATAAGCACAAACCAAGCGCGCTTTGTCGTCAAACGACTGCTGCAACTAAAGAAAAAAAAATTTTAAATTGACATTAAATATTCATAATATTATTGTTTAATGTACTCAGAAATGAATAAATTACTTCAAATAAGTACTTCTAATACGTTTTAAGAACTCCCAACGGTGTTTAAAAATCTACTTTTTTTAGAAAGTAATTCCTACTAGAATTTTGATTAATTTTTAAAAGTAATTTATTCCTATAAAAAAATAACTGCGTGGTATTCATGGGCGTAACTAGGATTTATTAGTTACAGGAGCTAGAGTCCTACAAAACCAAAGTGTGAAATAATACGTGGGGGCAAAGCCCCCCACACCCCCCTTATAAGATTCACTGAAATTTAGTTGTTGCAAAACGTCCGCTAAAACCAAAATTTCATTTAAACCATAATTTTTTTTGGGTCATCTTCGTTCTTAGGACTGCTAAATTTTTTTTAATTTGAATATAATTGTATACTATAAAATCTAACGTATTTACGTATACCGTATACGTACTCAAAAATAAAAATAACGGTTGTGACAGTCTGTAATAGTATACCTACCTACTGTTCAAAAAGTATTTACTTTTAGTTGAAGGTATTATTATTTTTACCAGTTACCACGTAAAAATATTCTAATTTGAAACATTTTTCACAATTCATGAAAAATTCTGAAATGACAACACTGGATTAGGAGCATTTCGCCATTTTACACCACCACACATATATAGTCATTATAATATGATGTACCTACGATAAACATAATAATTCTACCAGACTAAAGATATTAAAAAAATGTTCTTTATAATAACACAATATAATATTATGTAGCTTTCTACAAACATTCAAAGTCCAATTAGAAAACTTTGTATAGGTCCATCAGTGAGATGATAATATGAGATTCTATAGTTGCACACAATAAAACATCTTATATAAACGATGTGAAAAAAATTCGAATCATCTTTGATAGTAAAAACGCATATTATGTGACAGTGCAAAATCACGTGAAACGATGAGTTTCAGTGTCATTAAACGAACCACGGTGATGGAATTTCCATTTGTTTGATAGAGTAGGTCGACTTTGGAACAATACGAATATCAAAAAAAATAAATAAACAACAAGCAAAACCTTATAAGCTAACATTATATTATTATGTTGTGTTGGTTTTTTTCGTAGGTATTCGAAGTTCGATGACTTATTAATATACATTTTTTATTCGTAGTCGCAGTTAATTTAACATTAAGACTCAATAATATTCAAATATAGGTACATTCAATGGTAAAATATTATTCTGTATCGTCCAGAACATTACAACAATTAATATAGATACGTCTATTACGGGTAAGTACAAGTCCGGATTATATTTTTTTTTTTAACCTTTGTTTAATAGGTTGGACCTTCTCGCATCGACTGTATTTAATGTTTCTACCCACTGTATTATTATATTGTAGTGATTGTACAACTTGAATTAGCTTAAGTTATTAAAAACTTTAATAATCCTTCCCTAAAAATTTGCTCACGGCACATCAGTAGGTACACCGTAGCTGATAGAGATAATTATTATATGAATACCAACACGGCAACACTATAATATAGTAAGTACGCTTAAGTAACACAATATATTATATTTTTTTAATTCTGGCGTCAAGGCTGCAGGGGATGTAAAGGTATAAAAACACAATAGTACAATACAAACAAAAAACGAATCTGATTTTTTGAGGATATTAGTGTTATATTTAAATACTATGAAGTAAAATAATCATTCAAATCCCTTGAATCACTGTAAATATTACATTTAAACCGTGCGATTACATTTTGTGTTATTTAAATTACATATTCATATATTGCACCTACTACTTAAACTAAAATCCATACGTAAAAAAAATAATTGTAATAGTAATTAACAAACAAACAAAAATAATAATTATGAATCTTCATATCTGCAGCCACACTACGTGTATATGTAATATATTATAATAACTATCTATAGATATAATATGATCATTCCTTCCACAGTAAAAAAATAATATGTTTTATACAAAAATAATCTATACTACAACAATTATATATAACAATTTATTATAATTCGGTCGATTGATACAAATATGGTTCACTTCACTTTGGTATTAACGAACCAATGATCGGTACGTTGGTGAACGAATTCGTGGTGGAGTCCAGCAAATACTTGAAAGAATCGAAAGCACGTACGAACAGCCACAGGAGTAAAAAGCCGAAAACCAGTTGAGTTGCCAAATTCAACCAATATTGCCTGCAAATAATGTTTATTATTATTATGGCGTAATAGTAGCGGTATGTAGCATAAAGGCAATCACATCCCCTTGGACAAAAGTAGCATTTTTAACGTTTTACCAGAAATGAGACATTATAGGGATCTTAGTTTATTTTTTTACTGACTACGCACAATAGACAATAAAAGTTGTTCTTCGAATGATATTATCTAGTTGAGATCAGCTGCTGCAATAATGATTAAACGTATTATATAATGTAGGTAGTATTTTCAGCTACTACGGTAGTCCAAAGTTGTCACTGAAGCTATACAAATTGATAGTCAGCTTTATATTACGAGTCTTCGGTTAGGTATGATATTATATTAATTATTAATAAAAGTTATAATCATTGCTATAAGTTTCTGTATTGAAATGTCGTTTCATAATAGAAATTATTTGCTTTTTACAGCATGCTAAAGAGGCAGGGGGAATCTTTTTAAATGGTTTGCACCTCCCGGACAAGAAAGCAATTATACCACCAATGCTGGTAACTGGTAAGTTGTTGACATGACTTTATATGTGCATACCTATTATACAAACAATATAATTATACTTCAAAATGTCTAATGTCTATGAATTATGGGGGTATCATACTCATCATGAATATTTTCAAATGGTCCCCAGATCTAGCCAATTCTTGTGCCGGAGTTAATTATTATATGAGGCTTATACAGGGAATGTATTGCTGAGTTACCTATTGAGATTTTTTTACATACTTGTTACCAAACGTACCATACAATACCAAACGTTTAACCAATAACCATACTATACCTATGCTCGAAAAAATTGTGTTTTATGTCCTTTATGTGACTCATTTTATTATATTTTAACAAGAAGCAAAACCTTCAAATTAATTTTCCATTGTTTAATTATTATATTGTTCAGTAATAATAGAAATAACTTAATTGTTATAATATATAGTTAACACACCAAACATCCACACATAACTACAGGTAGAACTGCAATAGGTACCTACTTGTCTTTTTAAAACAACAAATATAATATGAAATATTGCTGTCCTATTACCTGATTTTGTTTTTTACAACTTTTCCAGTATAAACGATATCTTGATGTCTAATATTGCTACATCAATATCTGCCCTTTTCAATGTAGATATATCACAGAAATAATAATATATTGTCATCACCCAATTTAATAAGTAGTACCTATTCTAAATATAAACTATTGTACATAATATTCAATTATGTCAAGAGTGTGTAGAAAATACAATATAATATTTGTACATAATAATAATGTTATAGTTTCACGTATCGAGAATAATCGAAAATTAAAACTCTAAAGTTAATGGCTTTGTTCTCTCTCTGAAAAATTGATAGGAAACCATAAATTATTAATGAAACACGTTGTGTAAAGATAGTCTTATCAAACAGAACATAAAATAACGTTTTTAAAATCACTGTAGAATAATATTATCTAAGTATAACGATCGATACGATTTGATAATAACCAGCTGTATAACTTATGCAGGATCCAACCACAGTGTATAAGGAAGAATAAATGTTTTTTATTGCGTAAAATAGTTACGCTGATGGATAATAATTTATAATTATATTTTACTATTTTCAACCGCAATGGAAGTTATATTATTTTTAGTAACATTATTATGACCAGTGTATATGGTTTTTTATTTTTTATTTTACATCATTCAGATTCACAGAGAATTTAAATAATTAGTAAAATGTAAGTACCTAAGTACCTGTGTATTGAGTATGATCAAACTAGACAAAAATTCAACCATTTGATTTTCGTAACAATTCGATAGGAATGGTTTTTTTTTTACAGCATTGGGGGGTATAGTAAATAAACTTAATATCATTAATATATTATACATATTTTATAAATTATAACACAACAAACCGTCCTTTATGTACATAATAATATATATCCTAGGTAGTAATCGACCATTAAATTGCGTGTCCAAACGTCGTAATGTAGGTACGCTATAGTCCTATCGGTACTTGTGTCTTGTATTAACTGTATGTTTAACTTTTAACTTTACTTGTTAAAATCGAATTATATTTTTAAAAAGTAATTAATTATACCTATAAGAATATAACTCACAGTTTTAGATGAAATCTCGCCCGGTCGAGATTTGCAAGAGGCTCTTTCATGCAATATTGACGAGCACCCAGCAACACTTGGATCATGTACTTTTCGACGTCGATTTCGGTGTTCTGGATGTAAAACTTTCTCATGTCCTCTTCGTTTAGACAGTTTATCAGTGCTTTAGTGTTTTCAATTTTGAAGTTCCAACTGCGCATGGTAAAATACTGCAACACTTCCATACCGACGGCTATCCTCTTTTGAACTCGGACCATGCTTTAAATTCAATACAAAACGTGATGTTGATACAATTTATACTGTTAGAAAAGTGCTGAAGTATACCCACACTATACTACTGGTTAGGTTCAGATAATATACTATTGCAGTAGGGACTGTGAACGTGCCAAAGGGGTAGGTAGATTTTGAAATTCAAACCAACCCTAAACTTATTTTTCTATTTTTTTTTTCTTTGTCAATTTAGAACTTACAACTTTTAAGTTACAAACATAAGTATATAGACGATTCTTTTTAAGTTTTAAATTTTTTTTAAACTTGAAAAGGATATTGTATGATTTAAAAATAAATATTGTATCTACTTACATAGTTTAAAATTAATTAAAAAGTTGTCTTATTTTTATTTTATTTTTTATGGTATTATAAGACGTATTTTATATGCGTTTGTCCGATGTTTAAGTAATATTATATTAAAGGAATTCGATCCCGGCTTTGTATATAACCAAATTTAAAAATAGACATATTAAATGTTATGCCAATAAATTCTCATGTAAGCTAAAATATGTTTTCACAAATGTTAATAAGTTGATTAGACTAGCAAGTAGAATTGACAAAAGGTTTATACTTGTTCCAAAAAACATATATATAAATAATTTATATTCGTGTAACGCGTTTTGTCGTAATGATATGTTTGTGCGCATGCTGATGTTCACAATTTTTAATTTACACACAGTTACTCATATACAGTAATGATCATTCTACTTCACGTTGATTTATGCCCCCCCCCCATGGACGCCCTTAAAAAATTGTCTATTTTGAACTCCTTAAAAAATCCGTGGGTATCGGATCCCATGGGTTGTGATTTTGACTTACAATGTCTTTTGCCTAGCCAAGATCATGATACCATCGATCAAGTAGGCCGGAATGACCTGCAGCATGAACACAATGAAGTAGTGCACCAATTTGTTGGTCCTTATCGATCCATTGGGGTACCACAGACCGGCGTCGAATGGATACTCGTATGCGTATCGTTTTCCTTTGGACAACACTTCTCCCCAGGTCAGGCGAACGATGTCCCCCTTAGATATATTGTAACACGGCACCATGTCATCGATTGTGCTACTATAATGATTCAATGTTTCAATTATTATTAGGAGTTTATTCAATTATTTGTTTGTTCAATAAATTATTTTACATATTATAGACATCAAAAAGTTGATAGTGGGGTATTCGAATAAAAATAAAATGTACTTAATGATCAATAATCATAATATATACGATGAAAACTTAGGTATATACAATTAATGCAATTCTTCAAAGATAAATCCTTGGTTGCTTATATTTAAGTCCAACATCTATTTGGTTCAAACAACAATAAAATAAAGCATCGAGGTAGGTACATTTATATTGGAATTGACTATAAATTATACTATAACAAATAATTATAATTAATTTATAAACTATAAATTATTTTTCAAATGTAAATAATCAGGGCTTGCTAACGTATTTTATAATATATTTGACAAATAAACGATTGAAATATGTAAACGTAATTATAATGGAAAACGATAATCAAAAATAATTAAAACCACAAAACGTTTATTATTTTTATCTAAAATGTAAAAGTAGGAATGGTTATTATAAAGCATTTTTAAATATGTACAATATAAAATAGGGAGGTTATATACGGTAAACCTACATGATAATTAATAAATTATATTATAATATATGTATACATGAACATAGTATAAGTCACTTAAACTAAGTTGTATACTTTCAAGCGTTTGATGAGTGTATAATGTCTTTCTATAGTTGTCTAGAAGTTGTTTAGCAGTTTCAACAAACTTTTTGATTTCGTTCTGGATAAATGATAATAATATCTTGAAATCTCGATGGATGACTTCATGTCAAACTTGTATAATGCTCCGACAATGGTACGAATATTTTGACACCGGTGATGACTTCAATGTTGGATTTTCTGACACAACCCCACAATTTTACACCATAATTACAAATCGGTTTGATAATAATTAGGTACATATAGAAGCCGTTGATTTTCCTAGTCTATTGCAAAATTTCTTCCAACAAACGTTTTGTTTTTGATCTGCAATTTTCCGGCTGGCATGTTGTTTCTCATTCAGGGTGAATCAACTCAGGTATTTAGTCGAATCTTTTTGTATGATTCTCGTGTGATCCAGTAACACTCGGTCATTATTGGTTTTGGTTAAAGTATAATTCATGTGCATCGACTTATCACTATTGTTCTTGATTTTCTAAACTGTTGATTAGGATATTAGTTATGTAGAATAGTTAAATAATAGCATTTTAGTACTCCAGCTGATATATTTTTCCAATTTATTATGGCTTCTTCAGTTAGGTGGACCTAAACGTATGTGCATATATTATCGCTTGTTTAGTGACTAGTGATCTCTTCTGCAGATCAGAAAATTCTCATCATTAGCCGTTCGATTATAATAATATATAATAATATAAACATATAATAATCATAATATATCATGCAGTCAACAAACAGGAGAGGAACAGTATAATATATAATAATAATAAAAATAATAATTACTCGATCGTTGTTCTCTTCCAAGCGATCAAAACAAGAGCATTAATCGCAATGTCTACGGGCACAACTTCTGCTTCGTAATCTGGACTACACAACATGGATCGGATCACACCTTTGCCGCCAGCCACGATGACTCCTACCGGCCCATTTAAGCTGTCCACCCATCCGGGAACGGGCTCTCTGAAAGAAGGCGTCACTGCAAGCGACAAAAAAAAAATTCAAAAAATTATATTTTCCGAAATAACATGTTACAAGGTTGCCATTAATGCAGACAGTGACGAAGTGGCGTGGCCAAGTGGATAAACGAGAATCAATCGCCTCTGGGTTTTAATGGGTGGAGGGAGGGTGGGTAATGGCCTGTGGTTAAAAATGTAATTCTAACTATTACTTTAGTATTTAATACGGCAGACAGTTGAAAAGATATGTATATGCCTTTATATCGAGGTTTGTGTGGGTGGAATTTCAACTTCAGCAAGTCACTGCGTGCAGAGGTGCCTGGGAAGTTTATTTGACCAATTCAGCGTACGCGTGTACATCGTGTATGTAACTTTAGTTTGGTTTATACTTTATAGGTACATTTTAATAACAGATACGATATCAATATGAACTTACCAATCGATGGACGGGCTACAGAAATTGGAATCCGATTGGCATATTCGCTGACCAACGATTCAGCCAACCTTTTGGAGTACGTGTAGCAATTCGGATGGGGCCCGAGTAATCTGAAATCGATATGTTTTTATTAGATGAATACAGTTTAACCAATGATAATTTTCCGTTTCGTTTGATCATCGAATTCATTACGATATTCGAACAATTTGATTTAACTGCAAGTTATTTATTTTCTCTAACATTGGACTACGGTAGTAAGGCTAACCGGTTCACCCTGTGGCGGAACAAAAATAAAATAATAATAGCCAATTACGCTCAGCACGAGCTTTTATAGTTTCCGAAAAAAAAAAGCAATCACTTCAGGAATGTTTATGTGTCTACATTGAAGAAATCATGATGCAATGTAGTCGATACAAAACAAATTAAACAATTCGATAACATATTTTAAAGTATGCCATCATTAATACGACGTATCATGAAATCAATTTCATAGATTTCTAGCGATGCAGGCCAATTTTAGCCATAAACAATTTTATGGTGTATGTAATTTTATATTTAGAGCAGAGAATTTATTTAAGTTCATATTTTAAAAATGTATGGATATTAAAAAAAATTTAATTTTTTTCTCAGTTGATTTTAGTTATCTTGTTGTAATTCAAAAAATATTTATCATCGGGACTTTTCACAGTATAAATATTAATGATTTGTACACAGTCAAAGTTTTCAAATATTGTTCTAGGTATTTACACCATGAACCATACAAGTCGTTCTACGTGGTAGGTACGATTATATTTAATTACAATTTAGGTGCCTAATGACAATAATATATCATAATAATTAACAACAAATAACACTAATTTACACTATAAAATCAATGCATATAATTATGGTAAATATGTGATTTAGTTAAAAATTTAGTTTAAGTTCAATTTATAATTTAACCAATGGCAGCATAATATATTCATAGTTACCCTCCTACCTAATATAAAGTTATACCTACGTATCGCCATAACTATGGGGAGAAGCTAGAAGGGGATTAACCACCTGCTCACACCATTAGACGTTATTAGTCCATCATGGCTAAAACCAAATCTTTTCATAAAAAAAAAGGTGGGCAAGTGGGTGTCGCTCTGCTGTACAGTAGGTTACAAGTGGGTCACTGTATAATGGATGGTATTAAATTTGAATTCAATGATATAATATCATTGTATAAGAAAAACGATTCTGAGCGGTGATGGTATGTCAGTCTATGTATAAGGCATATTATATACATATCTATGGTATTAAACAAAAAATTGACCTATAATAGGTACCTATAATAAATTCCAAATTAATCATATCACAATATCCATTAGATACTTATAACGCGTTATACATCAACAAAAACCGTGATACTATCATAGATATATAATAGTACACTTTAGAAGTTTCAAGTACCCACGAATAGTATTATTCAATCACAACAAAATAACTAAAATCGTAATTCTTGGTTTAAATATGAAATTTTGTCTAAATTTGAAATTAAAATGTCTGTAAAAAATAAGTGTGTTTATATATTTTTTAGATTTTTTGGTTACAGTATGAATTATTTAAGAGAATCTTTGTTTTAAATTTTCAACTCTTAGTTATAAAAACTGAACATTTTATAATTTTTTAATTCCAACGATTGATAATTTTCGAGATTTTGATAAATTTTGTCAAAATTCCAACTTTAAATGCTTATAAAAAAAAATCGTGCCTATGTATTTTTAATATTTTTCAACTGATATTGTAACAATATATCAGGAGCCTTGTATTAAATTTTTACACTTTTTGGCCCAACAGATAAAACTTTATTGATATTTATAGAAAAAAAAACTAAAAAAATTGAAAGCTGTAAATGTCCATAAACAGCTCAAAAAGAGTCAAAATATTTTCAAAATTGTATGGTGTATAGAAAATGCTAATCTAAACATTCAGTGAAATTTTCATGTATCTACAGTTGTTCGTTTTTGAATTGCAACAAAATAAAGAAATCGCTACATGAGTAATCGAGTGAATATCCAATGTTGTAAAAATTTGAATTTCAAACGCTCATAAAAATTTAACTTGACTGTCCGGTAGAGATTTTTTTATTGATAAAGGTAGATAATCTTATAAGGAATCTTGTGTTTCATTTTCAAATCTTAGATTTAAAAAGAAAAATTTTTACGAATTCTTAACTCAAAATAATTTGCTAATTTTCGTGATTTTTCCATATTTTGTCAATTTTTGAACTTTAAATGCTTATAAAAAAAAATTGTGACTAAGGATTTTTAATATTTTTCATCTGCCTTTGAAACAACATATTAGGAGCCTTCTATTAAATTTTCAAGCTTTCGCAACCAACAAATAAAATTTTATTGATATTTTAAGAAAAAAAACTAAAAAAAAATGGAAAATGAAAATGTCCCTAAACAGTTCAAAATAAATCAAAATATTTTGAAAATGTTATCGTGTATAGAAAATGCAAATATTAACAACCAGTGAAATTTTCATGTATATACGTTCATTTGTTTTAGAGTTACACCAATAACCAAAATCGATTTTTTGGAAAACCAATTTTGCGTAAAAATTCCCGTTTTTCCTTAATTTTTGTGTTGTTTTTCCCGGCGCTTGTGAAAACTACTGCGAAATTTATACTTTTGACCCCCCAAAGTACCAACTAGATTCACTTTCCTATCAGAAAAGCTACTGATGAAGAAAATCCAAGCACTTTTACTGTCCTAAAACGTGATGACAGACACAAAAATATAAATAAAAATATATATAAAAATATAAATAAAAATATAAAAACATACATCATTGTAAAACCAATACATTCATCGCTCCGCTCAGAATCTAAAACTTTCCAGGGGTCATCATTGTGTAAAATAATTAATTATATTTAAGTATATTATACTTAATATATTAATATTATGGATGTACCATATACGAGCTTATGTATTAGAAAAATCAAAACATACATCAGTGTCGACTTTGACACAAAACAGATTCAGTGAAGTAGCTATAGAAATAGAGAAAAATAATCATCTAATAAGATTATCGATAACGATAATTTGTAAACATTTGCATCCAAATATTTTGGGCGTATACTAGCTGCAGTAAATTATAATTTAAAAAAAAACTTATACTTATTTTATTGTTCAAATTTTTTTTAATAACAAAGGGAGGGGGCGCTTTATTTTTAATTTTGGTTTTACGAGGGTTATTTTTAACCTTGGTTTCCCTAGCTAACTATTAAATCATAGTTAAGCCCATGTGTCCATTATATAGGCTAACCTTTTATAAAAATATTCTGGAAGTTGGATGTAGAGAATGCATACCGTCTCTGTTCAGTACCTATCCTTTATCATAGTGTAGGTACTATGATTATTAATTTATTATAGAAATAATGTTTAACACATACTAACTAACTCAATGACGAGGTACACTTAAAAGTTAAAATTTACGATTTAGCAGAGCGAATTCTCCTCTTTTTTTTAAATTATAAATTATAATCATAAAATATACTTTGGACTAGTCTTAAAGTTTCTGTATGACTTTAAAGAAGACGTAATTTGCTATATTCCTTAGTAAGTACCAGATTACAAAAAAACTCATTCAATAAAGTACAAAAATACGTGAAATTTATGACAGTGCACTATAATAATAACTTTTTTATGTTGATCAATTTTGGATATTCCCCCAACTTCGTCCAGAATCGTTGTATGAAAGAGATGATTTATTTTTATTATCAAATTTACAACAACATTGACGTCCACGTTTGTCGATACTCTGTCTTTTTATTTTGTTAGCAAAAATCATACTTTAGGTAATTCTTATTTAATTTGAACAACAGTTTCAAAAATAGTTAACAATAGTATAAATTAACTAAACTTTTGTTCAATACACTAATATAATGTACTTCTTTCTGTTTAAATACTGTTAAATATTGATTTTGTATTCTAGTATTCTACCTTATAACTTAAAATGGATGCCTGCAGATGGCTGTATGTACTATCATAAATATAAGTGTATATTAGTGTGTAATTTAAATGTTGAGTCATTGATAATTTTAAAAAAATGTTACGTCATAATTTAAACCTATTATAGTCTATAGATAAGAAAAATGTCATTTTTTTAAATTTTCAACAGTATTTGTATATATTTATATTTTTTATATGAAAAAAAATTCAACGAAAAAATAAATAAATATTTATCAAAACCCAGAACACAAAAACACGTGTGTATGTAATAGTTGTGTTGTCGTATTATGCATACATATACATTATATAATAAATTTACTATATAGGTATTATACTAAAGTATATTATCTACGACGTCAATGAGGCGATCAATTCAAATGTGGTGTATCAAATATCCTATAAATTGACTTTTTTTTTCGTAAAGGGCAATTATAAAGTAAACATTAATCTCCATTACAGTGTTAGGTTGACAAATAAGGAGACCATTTACGAATCAATATAAATAAAAATACAATATGCCGGTGAACAGCAGTATTCTACATAATATTATGATTACGTGCTCTTGAAAAGATTATCCGACAAAATAAGTGGTTGTTCTATTCACGAACGTGTAGTGTGTACAATGTATATACCTAAGTTATAGTACCTATATACTTACTAAAATAATATTTATTATATTACCAGTACTGTACATAATAGCCAATAGGGAATATTAATTTTAACTTTCAAACTTAATTTTTTTAAATTTAATTTTTAGTGACTTAATTTTTAACTTATTTGATATTGATTTTTGTTAACATTAACTTAATAAATAATGAGTAACTTTCAATCAAATGTAAGTTACGTTTATTTATAAATAATTAAATAGTAAAAATTGACATCAATAAAGTTATTATTAATGATACATAATAGGAAATTAAATATGTAATTATTAAATTTACTTCTCAAATTGTTGCCGTTAGGGAGAATAATATTATACAATAAGTATATTTTATTTATTTTTGATACCATACAGACATTAATAATGCAATTTTATAAATAGGTACCTAGTTACTATAATAGATTACTTGAAGCTGTAGGTACAATTCTCAAAAAGAACAAACTGTTAAATATTATGGGTAGTCATGATGATGTAAGATTACATAAGTAAGTTACTACTTGTGTTATTAGTTATTATTACTGTAACTGCTTTAGTTCAATTATATTTATTATTTTTTTTTTTTATTAATTAAAATATCTATTGTCCAACTTAATTATGTATTAAAAAAATAAAATTTACTTAAATCAGTAAGTTATAAATTATTGTTGGTTTCTATATCTACTCTCAACTTAACTGTGTTAAAAAAAGAGAGTTTACTATGGTCTATTAACTTTAAATTTAATTTTTAGTATCGATTTAACTCGAATCAGTTTAAAAAAAAAACCATCCATAACTCGGTCACATATATTACCTAGGCGTGATGGTTTCAAGCGTATGATCGTCCATCCATTCGACAGCCCTCATGACGTCCTCCGGATTGGCCGGCGATGGATAAATCGTTTCTTCGAGTGTGTCATATTCGCAGTGACAGAAAGCCGTGGACAAATGGACGAACGACTAAAACAATGAAATCCAACTTCACTCCGAGTGTATAATATTGTCGAATAAAAAATAGCAACAAAAAAAAAAACCCCGTCTTTGCCGAGACCGAATTTCGCAGTTTCACCGACGCAAAACGACAATATTGCGTCAGACAATCGTATACAGTCAATTAATTAGCGATGACCGATTCTATTTTTGCACGGTATTATAATATGCTTAGTCGGTTTTTTGCGTGTAGAAATTGAATATTATACCTAACTCATATGTCACACTGTGGTAAGTGATATTTTTTCTACGGACTATAGTCATTTTCTACTTGAACCGTACTTGAATGTCCAGTAAAATTGATTAATTAAACGGACAAACCATTGGCCTCTAAATAACGTTTAAGGAATACTATAAGAATACTATTGATGTTCAAAATATTAGATTTTAATTCACAAACACATCGGAAAGTCAGAGTCTTAAAACTAACTAATCGTGTGCGACTATTGATGTTAGTAAAGCATTGCTGACTATATTAGAAATATCAGAAAAAATCTATACATATTTCTTAAATATTCGAATACATTTCTACATTTCAATACATCATACCAACAAACCATATAGTTTAATGTATTAAATTTGTATATCTAAAAATTCATCAGTTTTTATAAATTCAGTAAAAAAATCTTCTTAAAAATTTAGATTTTCTGGTCCGCCATTCTTTACATTGGCATTAGTTATGACTTGCAAATCATTACACATTGGAACTGTATATTTACAAAAATCATATCGTATCCCCCCCTCCATTGGAGTATTTTTGCCATATAAAGTATATGATAATAAGCAATGAAAGTATATTTACCGCTATATGACGTGGTCTGAGAATTGCCACAAATTCATATCCCCCCCTTTCAAAAAAGCTGAGCACGCCACTGGTAAGGCGTACTGAAATTATATATTCTAAGTTACCGCCAATTGTTTCATTTCCACAGCCAAGTCCAACACATGTTTCGTTCCAGTGGTGTTGTGTCTTATTGCATCCTTCAGACCGGATTCCAAGCGCAACGAAGCCGCCCCGTTGAAGACGATTGACACTTCGTCGATAAGAATCGACTTGTTTTCGTTGCTCAGTCCGAGTCCAGGAAGGCCCAAGTCACCTTCCATCGCTTTGATTTTCTTCAGTCTATCTGGGAACTCCATGCGCACGCGTTCAAACACCTTAAAAACAAAACAAAACCCATCGGTTAGTGGTTACTTACGGGCTATTATTATTCGAGCTATTGTTTCGCATTTTCTTTTAAATAACGTTTACTAAAATAATAATCAGTTCTAAATCCATTTGGTTAATTGGAAGGCTCCGCGCACTGCCACTGTGGTGTAACATCAATTGAGTATTTTGTGTAGGGTGTACACTGTACACACGACGCACGTGCCAACTTAGGTATTGTACGTGACTTATTTATCGTTCTTCTTATTATCAATTTAAAATAATTCACTTAACTACTACAAAAAAAAACATTTTAGCGCATATTTTAGAGGTTTTATAAGTGAATAAGTGTTTGCAAATTGAATGATTTTTTTTTAAGGTCTATGTCATAGGCTGCCTTAGTTATAGGATTTATACCTAAACGGGTGCTGTGAAGTAGAATTCGGGTCTATTTACGTTTATATGATTCTAATGACCTATATAATAATAAACATTTTTTCGAAGGTCCTCGCAGTACCCTTAAACCTACTCTATTACGTATACGTGATGGCCGTTATTATGACCATAAATATTATGAGTGGCAGTAGTGGCGAAACGGAGCTTGTATTATGACCTTATTTTGCTGGTCCCTATATAATAAGAAATTATTGAATGTCGTTATAAACAACGATTTCATCTGAGCTTATACATATTATATACAAATATTATAGTCACTTTTACTTTTGACACTTTTATAATCGGTCGTACATAACGTAAGTGCTATAACACAAACCGTACACCTATTATAATATGTTACGACGATCGTCGTGTGTAAACGTATCTTGCTACACGACCAAACGACCTTACGAAAACGATAAATATTATAATTAATTATGGTTTTCTTCGATTATAGGTACCGTTTTAGATTTTACAGGTACCTGATACACACCGAGAACGTAAACATTATGTAAAATACAAAATAATAATAACTATATGCACCGTATATAATGTGATAATATACATGCAAATGTACCAGCGATATGAACCACCCTTCTAGACACACTTTCATGTGCCAATCTCTCGTATTTAGAAACAGCTTAACAATAATTATACAATAATTTATTATAATATTGCACTTATTGGGCAAGAACAAAAATTGTGGACTATCTCCTCAAGCTATTCAGATAGATATTCAAAGAGAGAATATCAGAATGAAAGATATATTCAGATCGTGGCCTCGACCACCGCAACAATGAAGAAATGTTTTTTAGTCTTTTTTTAGTATATACTTACTATCCCAAAATTATAGTAATTGATTATAGTACCGATATATGTTAAGTATTTAAAGTATTATATTTTACCATATCATTTGTGTTCAAATTATAACAAAATAATCAACTATCATTTTTCAAACGTTATACCTAGGTACAGTATAAATTTAATTTTATAATTTTAATATAATATGTTGAAACTATATAACTGAATAATTCAATTAACATAAATTTAATTGGCATAAAGAATTAGATTTTATAATTTTTGTAAACCAAAAAAAAGTGAATGGATTAAAGTTATAGCAAATGTATTTGTTTAATTAAAATAAAATATAAGGTATACCTTTCTTGTGGATTCTAATATGTAAATACCTACCCACTAAGACGGTAAGGTACTATTAAAATTGAAAACAACTAGAATTTTATCATCATTTTTTCGAAAAATACTTTTGGAGACATTAAATTGGTCAAACTTTATAAATAAGTCTATATAATTTGATAACATTAAAAATGTAACAAATATTTTGCTAGGTAATTGAATTAACATAAAAGATTTAAAATGATATTGGTACCTAATAAGGTCACCAAAATATGCCGAAACCAACCAAATTTCCACTCAACGATTGTGTAAAATAAATTTCACTAAAAAGTAAAATTAATGAAAATTTAGAAACATAGAAAATACATCGTTGTCAATTACTCAAATTTATATTGATTGACATGAAAAATCAGAACTGGTTAGGGCGTATGGCGTAGAAATTAAAATATAATATAATTACAATAATATATTATTATACTGACGCAGATTGATGAAATCTCATTGATGAAAAGTCAGGTTTAATAATATAATATACCTATTATATTGCGCACTAAGCTTAAACGCCAACAATATTATAAGGTTTAATTGATTTCTATAATATTGTTTTTAAATTTATTCCACTTGGCCCATATAAAACGATATTATTATTATGATTAACGGTCATCACTCAACTGCTAATTTCCTTATTTGATCTATCCTGGCTGTCGGGCTGAAACCTTTCTTCGGTCTACACAGTACGTAAATGGTTTTGATGCCGCCGCAGTCTCTAAGGAGCTTCTCGATGAGCACCTTGCCCATGTATCCGGTACCTCCGGTGATGAACACCGAACGACCGGTGTACCACTCGCTCACACTTTCGTTCGTCATTTTATCACCTGAAAAATAACACATCAGACGTTATTCAATCATAATATATTATATTATTATTTATTACTATCGGTTGCAAATTCGCATATTAAGAATATCATACCCAAATAAATAAATATTAATATGTTTGTACAGTGGGATAAGTGTATTACTACATTACATAAAATTAATACGTATAGGTATAACATGGCATACCAATATGACATATTACTATAATCATTTGTTTCATAATAACGCGATGTATACTGATTTTACTCAAAGGATATCATTATAATATTTATACTCGTATTACAAAGTATGTGTTTGCTTGTGTTTTTTTTATATCTTCAAAGATCAAAATGTTACATTTTTCTGTAGCGAAGGTGGTTTATTACATCGACGATTTTCCGAAATAAACGTCAAACCTATAATATTGCTTATGGAAATACAAAACAGAAACAAATTAAGGACTAAGGACTGTTATTTTAGAAGTTTCTCCTATAGATACCATATTAGTAAAATATTGTGTATATATTTAATATTTATTTATATGACGTATGTCGGAACAGCTAGATTTTAAATTCCAATTACAGACCACTCGAATTAACATGAGCTATGAAAACATTTCTATTTCGATCTTTTAACATTTTAGGTTTTTATGAAATTAAATTATTTGATCCCGTTTTCACTAACCAGAACTTAATAAGCATTACGTAAATTTGTGCATAGATACGCATTATAGTATTGTTAGGTGCAATACAATTTATCATAGGTATTACGGTATTACGTGACACATTATTGAATGTAATAGTTATTTTTTTTATCACAATTATTCACAATACAACACTTTTGTTACAACAGTTCCCCATGGCTTCTTATTTATTAACAAATAGAAATCGTAAATCTATTAATACTCATCCAATAGAGTTATCTATTGAATTTTTTTTCACATAGGTAGACTCCACATTGATCCGTACCTATAATTAACAATACATAACGTGATTTGGAGATGTTTTCCAATTTTGTAATACGTTTATTTTAAATTCTGAGAGGAGCGATAAATGTATATTGATAATTTTATGTATGTATGATTTTTTTTTTTTTGTGTTATGTATCTCTAGACAAGTAAAAATGCTTAGATTTTCAACTTCAATTTATTTTCCTTTAGGAGAGTGGAAAATACTCAATCCTATTCTTAATAATTGAAAAAAGAAACAAAATTAGGGAAAACAGGAATTTTTCACATAACCACTTTTCACCAAATAGTTATACTAACATTTTATAATATCTTATATGGTACAATTTTCAAAATATTATTACTTTTTTAATGTTTTTATAGACATTTTAAATTTTCTTTTTTTTTCTATAAATAACAATAATCAATTTTGCTTCTTCAAAAACCTTGAAAATTGAATACAGACTTTCTCATAAGTTTTTAGTACTTATCGCTATTTAAAAATATTAAAGATACGCAAGCATGATTTTTTTTTTATAAGCATTTCAAGTTCAAATTATGACGAAGTTTGATATCTAAACGAAAAATAAAGAACTACAAAGTAATTTTAATATTTTTTAACTGCCATTGTATCAACGTATGAGGAACATTGTATTAAATTTACAAGCTTTTTGACCACTGAATACAATTGTATTAAAAAAAACCTAAAAAAATTGGAAACTGGAAATGTCCGTAGACAGTTCAAAACAAGTCAAAATATTTTTAAAATGTTATGGTGTATAGAAAATGTTAATATAAACATTCAATGAAAATGCCATGTATACGGACATTTGTTTTAGAGTTACACCAAAAGTAAAAATCGATTTTATTCACATTTTTACCTTAGTTTTTTTTTTTTTTTTAAATTTCAATGAAATTAGCCGAACTCGACTCGCAATATTATTATTATACATTTGACAAAACGGTGGGGGGAGCAGCTTCGTGTACATCTAAAAATAGGATAGATATTATACGGCAGACAAGAACAAGGTATCAAATTGAAGTTTTGGTGCAACAATAATATTAATGTTATGACGTATCCATACGAGTGAAATAATAATCGACACGAAATATGATATAAACGTCATCATTGCATGGTAATGCGATATACTTATATTATAGTCAAACACGCATAAGTATTAAATAATATTATATAAATATTATACACACACACAGATAGTTCGACTGATATTATTGGCAAATAAAACCGTAAACACGGCATAAGTATAGACGTTGTAAACAGTTGCTGAGATGAGGTGAACGCAGACGATTTATTTGCACCTACAGTGAATATAATAATACGCTACCTGCATAATCTCGAACACGTGTGCAACGATATTGTAATTATAATAATTACAAAACTTGCTGGTCGTAGGTATTGAATAAAAATAAAAAAAACGGTACTTTTTCGTATATATAAACTGAGTAATTAGGCACCGCGCGAGTGGTTATAATCACGTGTGATGGAATGCCAAGAAAATTATTATCCAGTAAACCTGCCGAGTGTTCGGATGAAATAGAACGTGACAGAGAATATGACGCCACCTCACGACTATTATTAATGTTTTGATACAAACCGCTGAAGGACTGTTCATAATAATAACAACAACAATAACACGGTTGTATTCGAATACCTGAAATGCAGTGATTGCAAATATCCCCCCTCCCCCTTTTTCACTTCGATCAATATATATTTAACTATTATATTATTAATTATATTATTTGACTTGATACCAATCAATTCATCATTGGAGTAATTATTAAAATAATATCATATACCTTCCTACGCTGGCTGTGATATATACACAGTGATGTGGTACAGACGACTTTTGAATTTCGTTGAAATTAATATTATAATACCATTGTGTTACCGATTTTCTATGTAAGTACCTTTATGGTTGGAAATTCGTCGATAACACGACCGCATATTATTCGAATGATAAATCTTATGACTTAAGATATTTTGATTTATGTTAAACCGTATAAAGTGGCGTTGAACAATATGTATAAACAATATAAACGGCACCGGTGTACCCACAGTGAAAATATACTAGGTTAATTTTACCCCCAGTAAAAATATCCTAGGTTAATTTTACCCCCGGGGGTACAAACATTTGAGGGTATTAGAAACCTGGGACACCGGTATGGCCCGTCCAGGGGCGTTTGGATATATACTTCAATATAGGGGGCCAAATGGAAAAATGTATATTTAAATCACTTATGAGCTAGTCGTCAATTATAACTCAGACATTCAGAATTCTTTTTGAACTAATGACAAAGACTGATGGTTCAACACGCACTGTGCATGTATCATTCGATACGTTCTTACAATTCAGTGTAAGCAAGTTAAGTGTAAGTGAGTGTTATAAAAATGTTATCAGCCAAACTTAGATCGTCAATAAGCCAACTCATCCGGATCCTTTAACCAATTAACTTGTCTGCTTATTGAAGAAGAAATCATTAAATTTGTAATTTAAAACTTATGAAAATTTATCTTTCTGATTTCTCAATAAAATATATAGTTACAAGTCTGGGAATAAACGAATTGTAAATGTTAAAGTTAAGTTAATTTTAACTTTTTAGCTTAACTTTTATTAACTCCATTTTTAATCTAACTGATTTTTATTGATAATATTAATATAATATTATCATATTAATATAATATAATATTTATTGATATATTAAATAATACTTTTATTCAAATCCACGTTACGATAATAACTGTAGTACAGTTAACTACTTCAATGTTTTTTTTTTTTAAAGTTTTTATGGGAAAACATGGTAGGTACATACAAATTACTAGATCATTAATAGAGTTTAGGTACCTAGTAACCTACTCATTAAAGGTAGCAGAAACAATGAGGTGTATAATATTATGTTTACCAATTATAAGAAATCCCTATTTTTTTCTAATTTAAATGTAAATCAGATATAGTTAACTATTTTTTACTCAAATCTCTTGCTCTCCAATACGTAATTTACGATTTTTGCGGAATCAACGAAACACATTTCTGGTTTGAATATTTTCTTGAACTTTTAGAATTGGTTTAATTATATTATGTAATATTAATAACCGGAAAATACAATAAAATATATTGGTATCTCAATTTATAATATGGTCATATGAATAGGGATGATAATCTGGGAAAGAAGGGGGATGGTTCCGCCCTCATATTTTATAGTGGTGGAAAATATATGGTTTTGACCTCCAGTTTACGCTTTAATTCATTCAAAATTACATTTTTTTTTAATCATAATGCTTGAGCTTGAATATTTTATTTTCTATTATTTTAGTTTGTCATCAAAATATGAATATTGTAATAGGTACCTACACTTAAAGTGTTGGTGGTTATTATTATATAGATAATACAGTATTGATTTATTATTGATACATTTAGGTATGCAATAGATAAAAAAATGTATAATTTCCCCCTTCCCCCCCCACAAAAAAAGAAAATTTAAAAAAATTACTCTAAGTTAAGCCAAAGATCACGAGAGAGACAAATCAAATACACCCATACAGTATTGTCGCATTGCCCAGAAGCAATTCGAGTTGAAACACCTACCTACATACCTAACTATATTCATGAAGCGGTTCTTAAATTGGTCTATTTAATGTTTAAAAAAAAAGTATACCCAATAATATGCTAGGACGGTAAAACAAAATATTTTTATTGTATTCTGCACAGTATGTTTATATTATAAATAATCAGAATATAGAATTGACCTAGGAATATTAATTATTATTTCATTGATTATAAATTATAATATTATATAAATATAATATAATCAATGGTATTAGTTGATGAGATTGATTACCTATGCACACTATTTTCTATTAAAAGTTACCGATTGTTTACAAGAATATTGCCAATGATAAAAAAGTTAAGTCAAGCAACAATAATGTAGCAGTAGGCACCTACCTAGAAAATAATCATTATGTTAATTACATGTAATATTATCATTGCCTTACTCGTTTATAAGTACAGTGTTACAGTCGTCAATCATACAATTTTGCCAGATAACG